CAGATTTACTGGCTCATGAAAACGTGCGAGCAGCCGCCGTACAGGAAGCACCACCAGCATTGTTGAGCCATTACTCAGTCATGTGGTAAACAATCCGAAGACAGTGGTCATTACTGAAATATGCAAGACATCACAGAGCTGTCGTGTATCCGAAAGCTTCCTCAGAGAGAAGATGATAACATTTATGAAAAGTAATGTGTAAAATCTGTGTGTAACACTTTATACCAGTGCTTTATATTAACACTGGTGAAGCTATGATGGAGGTGAGGTTTTGTGTTGTTCTCACAACCTCAGTGCTAAGAAAAAGTATAGGTCACAATTAAACGTGTGAGATTAATGATCACTTTTTTTACCAGACAAAGATGAACTGAATACAAAACGTGGTTTTTAAATAGTGATTTAGCCACGCCTACCCAGTCCTATGTGAAAAAGTGCCAAAATGGCCATCATGACAGAGAATCACTGTTGACCAATAAGAACACAAAGACCATGTGAAATTTGACCATTTTGACGAGACTTTGGGGGAAACGCTGGTATAAAACCAAAAGGCTGAATTTGAACACACAGTCAGTGTGACCGACAATGACCCATCACTGTCGTTGTGATTCTGTTAATGTTTTTGGTTTATAAATCCAGCTTTGGTAAAAGTATCGTGACGGCGCACACATGTCAACAACAGACTGTATAACTGTTGAGCACACTGGTGTCAAAGGCTTATATAAAGTTTCATGTGGCGTAGCGACCCACACCCACGGCTGCCTTTCTCTGCTGATTTCTTTCACGTCGTCATGAAACAGATTTGGAGTATCAGACCGTACAGGCACACAGCTCGATAACACCTGCCTGCACAACCATTTCCTGAAGTTACATCATTTAGCTTTGATATTAAAGCTGTAAAGCTGCAGTATAAACAGGTAGCGTGTATTGTTGCATGTTTTTACACACTTTCACACACTGCATGATAACATTAAATATCAGTACTTGTGTTACATATAGGCATATACAGAGCTTCCTTTGACATAGTGCACAGACAGATGACGCTCTACAGGCTGCTGGGTGAACTGATCCTATTCAGACACCAACTAACAACAGGAACAGAGTCCACAGTTCACATGTTAGTGAACATGTCTTACCTGCAGTTTCAGCAGAGAGGTTGTATTTGAGTGTTTGTACGAGATGTTCCCTGTAGCTCGTTCCTCTCCTTCTCTTGCTCCTGTCAGTCTGGATTTCACTTTTCTCATTCGTGTCATTTTTCCTTCATTGTTTTGTTGATCCCTCCTCTTAACCCCCCCACCCCACCCACGACATTTATCCAAACAGACCTGCTCGACAGGTGCAGCTGCAGAGGTATGCTGTTTTAGATCAACTCTGTCTCACAGCTCTTTAGCAAACACAGCTCTAATTAGATAATGCACATGCTTTTTATTTCAAGAAACTGTCGCGAAATCAATCAATGTAGAGCAGTGTCACAAACCACGGAGGCCCCAGAAAAGTGCAATCAAACGATGAGTTTGTAACAGCCCGGAGAAAACATCAACATATGTCTTCTGACCAACATACATGTTGTGGATACTTATAAAGCAGTGGGGTACACGCCCCCCCATGCGTCAATGACAGATTAAAATAGGTTCCAGACATTAGTCACAGTCAATCGTACATCTTTAATAGCTATAAGCAGACATAGAACTTCTCTTTTCTATAACACCTTCCATACAAGGTAATAAACTTCAAGCCCTCAGGGTCTCTGAGGCTAATTATTGACTCTGATCATCTGTTACCAAGTAGAATAAAATATTGTGAGACACCAAATGAGTTAAGGCCTCAGGTCTGACACATTCCTAGATTATATGTACTGTAAGCATGCATTGCAGTTATCCTTCTATGTTCTAGTTTCCCTCAGCATGTATCACCTGGACAGTCACGCCAGTGAAGCTTAAGACCCTTAATGAACTGAACATCAACTCAAAATAAGCTCAGATATGCAATGTGTATAAAATACTTCTAACCGTACCTGTAATAAAAGTTAACATAATGGAAGGATCCTCAAATGGACATCTTCAATAAACAGCTGTAATGCAGTATCAATACTGTGAGAAATATTATTAGATGAAATAATGCTGTAAAGAATGTTATCAATGCAATTATAATGATGCAGATTATATGGCAGCAATATAAGAATTTCTGTATCTCCACATTGTCTGTTAAATCATACAGGACACTTGATGCCCACATCAGAGTTTTGCACACTGTCATGATGCGTGTTTGTTCTGGGAGTTGAAGCAATAAAGAGATAAAGTCTGTTTGAGATGCTTCATTACATGCACATGGGTGTAGCTAAGACTGATTAACTGAACTGTGTGATGAATTAGGATCTCTACTGCCGTTCCACAAGTCCTGGTATGATTTCTTTCTCCAAGCCACCTTTTTTTAGCTTGCAGAGACTATAAGGAATGCCCATTTCGGCCTGCACGGTTCACTATGTTCTCCACCTCACACTGAAGTGCTTCAAGTTTTCTCCTTTCCATTTCTGATGCCTTCTTCCACTGTTTCTTAAACCTCCTAACTTTCACCAACCTGTCAATGTCTTGCTGCGCCCTGATGTAGCGCTTCCCATTTTTAAAAATGATTAGGGACGGACTTTATCGACACTCACTCACAGGAAGAGCACAACCAGTTATTGGTGCCAAAAAAGCCGTTAGTAAATCATTTTCCAGGTGGCTGATGGCAAATGTTCATCTACAACGCTTTTCTACTCTTCCTGAGCACTCAAAGTACTTGATACAATTGCCTTACTCACCCATTCATACAAGCAAGAAGGGGATGAGCACACTGTACTTTCTAATGAAGCTCATATCCTTTGATGATGGAGATCTTCTTCTGTGGTAGTGAGTACCATCTAGTTTGCTGGTGTCTGCTGGGGGGCAGCGTCAGTGCCAGAAATGCCAGCAGGATGAACAAACTACTCTGCGAGGCCGGAAGAATCATTGGTCAGAATTTGGGCCAGGAGGTCACTGAACCTACCCTCTCCATCACAGACAGCCCATCACACCCACTCCACACCTCTGAGGCAGCAGAGTGATTCAGCCTCGCTGCCATAAAGAACACTTTAGAAAACCTCTCTCTATAAAGCTGTACAATAACTTCATTCTGGGACAGGTTTACACGCCTGTCAGGCAAAAGACTTTAAAGCAATTTGCACTTCTCTCCTACACATCAGTCTTAATTTTACTGTTTTTAACCAACTTCATTTGAACTTTTATCACTTTTTTATATATTTACATTTCTGTATTATCTCAGAGTATAAGGCACTTTTATTTAACTGTGTTTATTGTAGACTGTACTGGTTTCACTCTTGCTGCTAGGGATGGGTATTGATAAGATTTTCACGATTCCATTTTCGATTCTGTTTAACGATTCGATTCTTTATCGATTCTTTTTAAAAAAGGAGAACACTAAGGTCGACTAGCTTAGAACTTTGTTTTTTATCTTCTCTTTGAACAGGATAGACATTTAGGAGTAACATGGCCTTACAAACCCAACAGTGAGATCTTAAGAGATCATTAAGAGATCCACAGCCTACGGCTCTTCAATGGGGTGTCACAGGGTCCCCAGGAAAAAACATTGTAAATGTAAAATAATAAAATGAATATTCTTCTGTAGCAATAACACAAGAATATCCAGTAATGTCCCTGCCTACAATTAAACACATTCACTTACTGAAAATCATCTGCTGTGGCAAACAGGTGCAAGCCTTTGACCACAAACTGAGTCACTGCTCGGTGACATTCGTCTATCCTGCCTGAAAGGAGACGCTACCGGCAGACTGCAGCGAGAACTGCCAGCATCTGAGCCAGACTCTGTCTCATCATGGTCACTAAATGCACAGTGATGGCAGGTTTGTAATAAGGCAGATCGCGCTAACATAATATGCACTGTTGTTGATTATTTACCTGCCGCATTAACGGGAGAGGACGTGCAAACGTTACTGAATTAAAAACACGACATTCATTTAAGGTCATCGTGTGTTTTGTGAGCAAATGCTTTTGCATATTCGTAGTTTTTTCTCCCTTAAATGAAATATCTACTTTTCAAATATTGCAAGTTGCCCTGTTGTCATCCGTTCTCGTAAAGTATAACCAAACTTTTGAGCGTTTGAGCCGCCATGTTTCCTGCCAGGTAAATGACGCTCCGCAACGTGGTGACGTCGTTCTGGAATCGATAATCGACTGGAATCGATAAGGGAATCGTTTGCAAACATGGCAAACAATTCCAAGGAGTTGAAACAGTGGGAACCGGTTCTCAACAAGAACCGGTTTTCGATACCCAGCCCTACTTGCTGCTGTAAATCAATTTCTCTTGTGGGATCAATAGTCTATCAGGGAGCCCACACCCCTGACGCTTGAGGCAGTTTCATTTCAGCTGGAAGATGTTCAAACAGGAACACTGGTACAGTCTGGAAAAAACAGTGTTTGGCAACCTGGTGGGCATTCGCCTCCCATTGGGTAATAATTGCTGGGAGGCCCGTTCAGCCTCTGTTCAGCTGTAATGGCTCCACCGATGCCATCAAGCTGGAGACTCGTTGGATGGAAACATGTCGAGAGCCAAGTGCACGATAACAGTAATCGTTTTCTTACTGCAAAAACATCACTACCCTGCAAACACAGACTGTGTGTGATGCTAGGCTGTGTTATGGAAATCTCTGATCAGTAACAGCTGTACAGCCTGACCAACAAGTTTGTTTTGGTAACTGAGCTCCTAGTATTCCATGACTCTGTTACTCAGCACTGATCAGCAGCTGTACTGTGCATTTCCCCTTATTCTATAATGCGAGTTCTCCTTCTCTCTTCAGATGTACGTAGATGCTCCAAACGCTCGCCAGTCAGTGTGCAGAACATTTTTACACTTTTTACCCTGACTGTGAAACCTAAACGCTGCATGCTTATTGGATAACAGCTTGTGATGGACACATCTGGCCAATCAAATATTACAGATGTGGGTGCTCAGAATATTGATATCTTTATTTCACAACTGAAATGAGACTCAGGAGGAAAACAACAGTTCACTAAAAACATTTTGATTGTGTACGATTCCTGATGGAGTTCATCTTCAGCCGCACAGTTTCCATCATTAATGTTATCTATCAGATGCAATCAAAATTCAGCATCCCCCACCCATCAAGAACCAAAATAAACATCAGATTTGGATGTGGCGACCGCCGTGAAGCAAACAGCCACTGTCTTTAGAATTAGCTCGAGTAGTTAAAGTGATCAATGAAACCTCAAACATTACAAAAAAAACTTAACAGTTCAAGTTTAAAATGTGACACAAACTAAATCTACATCGACATGAGAATCTGGACCCAAAGTATCAGGAGCACATTCAGCTGGAGTCGGGCTTGGCAGTCTCACTCGTTGTTTTGGACGTCTTCAAGTATTTCTAGGAGAACGTGGACAGAATCCATAAGAAACCGATTAGAGCAGAACAAGTTCTTTGTGATCAAACAAATGTGTGGACATGTAAAATGGTCTGTTACAATCAGAGCCTAAAGTATAGGATGAATCTAACCTACGCCAGGTGTGTTTTACCTGTAAGGCTTTTATTTTGGTCACGTTAGCAAACTTCTTGCCTGCTTAAGTCCTACTTATTTAAAGGTGCACTCAGACTGGTAATAAGTAGGAAACAAAAACCAGACTGAACTCCATCGTCATACATCCAGACTAATAACTGCGTGTTGCTACCTGCAGGGTCTCGTAGTGTTTGCGGGTTTTGCAGTGGCTGATTTCAGCCTCCTTGGAGCCGCTGAAGAACCGAGCGCACACCTTACAGAAAAAACCCGTCTTTGGGACCAGGAACTCCATACCTGTGGATGGACACACAGAATGACTCTTGGTCTAACTGTGGGGTGCATTTTAGCAGTAATGCATAAATCCTGCTGACTCTGAGTTTAAATTCAGATGTCAGGACATCCAAACAGCTGTGAATGAGCCATGCTAAACAAATACAGACAATATAGTTTCTTACCAACTGGGTTGCTGGGGTCAAAAGGAGGGAGGGAATGTTCGGTTTTTCTGGGAATTTCCATTTCTAATTTGGGCTTCTCGCTCTCCTCTTCAGCATTGGGGTTTCTTTCAGATTGCTCCTGTTTCCCTGCAACAGACCGGACAAAAACAGGGCTTAACTCAACCCCTCGATCTTATCCCAGGTGACCAGTGCTGTTCGTTCAAACAGAGTCCAGTGATTTCTTCGGGGGGCAAATCTGTGTATGGCACCATCAGCCAACCACTTCTTCTTCTTAAGGTGCTAAATGTAAGAGGCTAAATGAATCCACCTCACCAGTTTCTGCAGCTGTCTCTCTCCTGTCCTTGTTCTCCTGATCCTGCACCTTCAAGTGTTCCTCCTGTTTGACCAATCCCATCTTCTCTTCTTCAACAGACTCACGAGGTTTCAGAGGATTCTCCTCATCGCCATCTTGGCTTCTTTCTGCTGCTAAGGAGGAAGCTGCTGCAGGGACAGGGATGGGAACACTTTGGTCCTCTGGGGCGAACTCAGCAGTTAATGAGGTATCTGAAGGGCAATGACAGACTTCAGGTTCAAGTATGCCACATACAAAAGGGCTGAAAAAAAACATGGTTTATTCAGAGTACCTGGCTGAGGTGTGATGTCAGCCTCGGATGGTTTATGCACTGGGCTGTGTGCAGGCTTGGCTTGTGAAGCTGGCGGTGGGGACACAGCAGCACTGGGAAGCAGATCAGCTGTTACATCCCCCTCAGGTGTGAGCTCACACTTCGCTGGAGCTGCTGTGACATCAATGGCTGCGTCCTAGAAGTAGAAAACAAGAGGCGGCACATGCTGCTGTAAAGTTTCTCACTCACACTCAGGTCCACCTCATGTACCAATGACACAAGGATCAATAATGCACACACCAAACCCACATTAAAATCACTTTCTCAGCATCTCTAAAGTTAGAAATATCCTGTCTCAGAGTGACGCTGAAAAACTAGTTCCTGCATTTATTACTTCCAGGCTGGACGACTGTAATTCATTATTATCAGGACGTCCTAAAAACTCTCTTCAGCTGATCCAAAATACTGCAGCAGGAACTATTTCTCCCACAGTGGCAGTAAATCCAGAACTGAATTTAAAGTCCTTCTCCTCACATACAAGTGAATCCTCAGGCTCCGTTTCATCTTCTAGACGGTGCTGCATCAGCCCCACAGAGCTCTCACACTGCTGTTTACCTGCTGTTAGTAGACTGGGAGGCGGAGCCAGTTTCAGAGGCTTTTCCTGTTATAAAGGAGTTTTTGCTTCCCACTGTGGGGTTTCTCTGTATTATTGTCCCAGCCTATAATACAGAAATGCAGTGAGGCGACTGTCTCTGTAATTTAGTTCTGTAAAAATAAAACTCCTTCAGTGTTGAGAGCCTCTGAGTGGATTAGACGTGCTGGCTCTCTGTGACTGTCTATAACACAACACTTGTGCTGCTACACAACAGGCTGCAGTCCAGACACTAGCAGCTGTTGTTCTAAGACTCCCCAACAAATCTTTTTGATTTCTTCTTATCAAATATGTATGAATAATTAAAAAGTCATTAAGATGGCAATTACTGACCGAAAGAATGGCCTGCTTAATAATTCCCAGATTTGTAGCAGCCCTTACTCCAGCTTCATATCAGGCTTTTAAAGTCTTCTTTGAGCTCTGGTGTAGATTTAGTTTCAGTTTGACTAAAGAACTGAAACACAGGATCTTTGTTTTTACCACAAGCCTGCAGCATCCATTCTGGGGCGACCGTGGCTCAGGGGAAGCGCATCTGTAACCGGAAGGTCGCCGGTTCGATCCCCGGGCTCTCTGTCCTGGTCGTTGTGTCCCTGGGCAAGACACTTTACCCTACCGCCTACTGGTGTTGGCCAGCTTCTGTCAGTCTGCCCCAGGGCAGCTGTGGCTACGACTGTAGCTGCCTCCACCAGTGTGTGAGAGTGAATGAATAGTGGCATTGTGAAGCACTTTGCGTGCCTTGAAAAGCGCTATATAAATCCAATCCATTATTATTATTGGATGTCTGTGGGTGCAGATGAAGCAGTGGAGTCATGAAGATTAGGAGACTTAAAGTGTAAACATGGATAGAGTGATGGAGACAGGAAACCAGCCTGTGGACAGCTAAAACCAGGAGGGTCTGTGGTGACAAGAAACCAAACAGACCCATAAATAAATAATGGCGGTGTTACCGGTCACCCTCCTAGTAGAAACACCCGTGGTATCCATTGGAAGCTCCTAAAGCTCGTTCTCTGGTTACTGCATTCACACAGGTGTCCGTGCCACCCGCCTGGCAGGGTGATGGAAGCACCCCATCAGCCTTTACAGCTGAGGGGTAAAAACATATTCTGGGTATTTCTTCTTTATAATCCCCGAGAGCCTCCATGTCATTTCAAGGTTAAATGAACTGCCACCCCTAGTGACAGGTTGGACTTCAGAATTCACCGAGTATAAAAACACCAGTGGCTAATAGGAGAACAGAGCATCGGCTGAAACGTCCTTAATCACAAGTGATAACCGCAGGAGAATAAAAAGTCCCTACCTGTCGATTTCAAGCTCTATGTGCACACAGCCACGGTGAAGCTACCTGTGGAGTGTCCTGTGGGACACATGTGGGCGGGGTCTCCCCTTCTTCTGATCTTTCGAGTGGAAGCTCGGCCACATCTCCGACTTCGTCCACTGTGACAAAGTCACTCATGTCGAATGGGAACTCATCCAGCTCCTCCTCCTACGTTCAGGGAAGGACAAAGAAACAGAATTGCGAATAAAACGATGCCCTTCACACGCTTTAAACTTCAGCCTTTGCGTCTCCTCACCGCTTTGGTTTCAGCCTCCATACTGTGGCGCTCATCCCTCCCGTAGCTTTGCCTGGATCCCTCCGACCTGGAGGACAACCTCGACCCCGATAAACCGTTGCCGTGGGCCCTCTTCCTCTCCCTTCTTTCCCTTTCCTTCCTCTCCCACTCCCTTCGTTCCTCCTCCCTCCTCTCCCTCCTGGATTTTTCAGTCCACTCCCTCTTAGCTCTCTCCTCCTTCTCCCAGCCCCTTCTGTCCCTCTCCCGCTGCCTCTTCATTCTCTCCCTCACCTCCTTCTCCTTTCTTGCGTCCTTTTTCTCCTTCTCCTGCCTTTTTACCTCACCTTCCACACCCATCTGTTTTTTGGTCATCTCTTTAGTCTCTGTTGTTTTTTGGCCCAGCTTAGTCTCTGTCTGGTTTTCCCCCTTTTCTCCACTGGGGGGTGCTGCTCTGCTGCTGGAGTGGCCGGTGGGTCCTGTTCTGCATTCCACAAGCAGCGCATTAACCATGGCTTGAGTTACCTGGTGACGTTACAGCAGAAACACTGTTTTAATTGTCAAAGATCATTTTGTATGCATGTAATCACACGTTTTGTGCGTACACACCTTGGGCAGCTCGGCTGCTTCCTCAGAATCTGCTTTGCCATCCAGGCGAGGTGGCTGTGGCTCTTCTGCAGGAGTTTGTTCACGTTCTGCTTCAGATGCACTGACTTTACTCTCCTCTGTCGTCTTGATGTCAATGCCTGACGTTCCCGTTGTGTCTGCTTCTAATTGATTCTCCGGTGCAGAGTCACAAACCGTGAGCTCGTCTTTTTCCACGTTACCGTCTTTGCACGCTTCTAAAACCTCTTCAGCTGTTTCCTCCCTGCCCGTCATCTTATTAGCATCTCCATCACAGTGTTTTTCAATCCTCTCCTCGGGAGACTCTGAACTGGCTTGGTGTGCTGCTTCCTCTCTGTCTGCAGACGTCTGCTTTGCTTGGCCATTCGCAGGTGTATCCTGCAGATGCGCACGCACGCACACACGCACACACACACGCACGCACGCACGCACACACAAGCATTTAAGAAAAGCTGAATCTCCAGAAATGAGTAAATGTACATAGACCCTCTTAACTATAACCAAATATCAGTGGTAGTGACCTCAGGTGAATCGTGAGGGGCAGTGATGGCTTTGGTCTGCATGCTGGCTTTGGGGTCAGGCTTGCGGGAGAAGAACAGCGGGTTGTTCTGGATTATACACGGAAACGCCTGAAAGCGCTTGTACACGGACAGGGCCATGGCTGCAGTGGCCATCTCACAAATCACCTGAGCAGGAAAAGAAAACGTGACGTTAAGCACATGAGATTTCTTTGTTTTGCAAAATATTTGTCGGGACTGTGAGGGGTTCATGTGGACGTCACCCACTGCATTTTAAATGCTTACTGTCAACCACAAAGACAAACAAGCTTGTTAGCAAACTGCATCCATAAAGTGTATGTCTGCAACACACAGGCAAACACCTGTTTAATGCTATAAAGTTGAGTCCTATGTCAGTCTTTACAACATTCCTCGAGGTGAATGGACTCGCAGGTTTTTAAAGCCGAGCAGCTGAGTGCGAGTCCTGGAGAACAAAGTGGTGCACAGCTGCACAGACGCATAGCTCTCACCATGCTGCTGAGCACGAGGGTCTTGATGACTGTTCCAAAGCGTCGCACCAATTTCTCGACTTCAGAGGACCCGCTTGGTGTGTCGGGAACATTCCCAATAACCAGCAGGCTGTTCCAGGCGACTGGAGCTCGACTCTGTAACACGCAGCAACATTTAATGACTTGCAAACTAGCACCGGATATGGTTGTTGCTTCATTTCCTTCAACTGTATTTTTGTCATTAGATTTTATTTAGTGTCATTAGATTTTTTATAATGAATAAATATATGGAACATGGAAAAAATGTGTTCAAAATCCACCTTCGCCTTTTTCTCAACTTCCTGCATTCACACAATGTTCAGAAACATGACCTGTCACTCAGCGGGGATCTACAGGGGTGCCCCCCCTACAGCTACTGCAGTGCAGACAGTGCAGTTTATTAAAGCAAGCTGACAGTAACACTTTTAGCATGGCTACAACAAACCTTAAATATACCACATAGGCACCAAAGATATGGGCTACAGAAAATGAAGCTATAGACTATATGTATATGAACGTGTGTACTTACTGCATTTGAACCACACTGAATGCACATTACAGAGCTAACACCTGCATATGAGTGTAAAATAAATGGCTCTGATTTGGTCTCTGGATGCGCCCCTGCTCTGACCTTGAAGTCAACGTCACTGAGATTCAAAATGGTCCTTTTTACAGTACACAGAGCTCTGGTGTTAACAGGTGACTTTCGGGAAGCCTGACCTTTGCTCTGGAGGTCACTGTGATTTTTGTAGACACACTTCTGGTATTAATTTAAACTCCTACGTCACTTCGCTCTCGAGCTATCTGATTTACAAACCACCACCAGCCTTTCATGACTCAGGGGGAAAACTCAAAAGACCTCATAATGTTGGAATGAAGGACATGAAGATGTACTCACTAATGGATCCACTGGTCCCATCAGAAGATTGTAGAGCGCCACCTGCGTGAAGAGTGTTGTGTTTAAATCAATCGTTGTTTAAGGAAACCAGATCACTTCTTTCAAACTTAAGATGCATGACACAGAAAACTAGAAGTAACAGAGGAGTAAAGACAATCCACAGCACAGTCGTACCGGTGTGTTGAAGCTGATGTGTTGTTTCAGGGCGGTCAGTTTAACCTCACAGTCTTTCACCTTGGCAGGCACAAACGTGTGGACCTTTACCATCTCCTGAACAACGTCCATGTCTGGCACTGACACAAGTGCCTAACACACCAAAGGAAAGTCATTTGTTACACAAACAGCATCATCATTTTCCACTTTCAACATTTCTGAACAAGGACACTGAACAATATAAAAGGAATCTATACAGGAAACAGTCTGCAAACATATTGCTTATGGACACTATTAAAAGTGAAAACACACTCTTACGAAATGTGTTTACTAATGCAAAAAGACGAAGGGGGAAATCCCACTGATCCAGTTCCAGGTACTGGCTTTAACCATCCTAGTGCGAGCTGATCCGCAGCCGGGCAGAAATATCATTTTGTATTTATGACATTTATTGAGAAACTAACCACAGAGACAGTTGAGGCTAGTCTAAGAGTTAACCTACAGAAGCCAAACCCATGTATGTGTAACATTAGCCTGCAAGAGTTGGTTTAGTCAACAAAGGTAAAAAAAGAACCTGAAACTGTCAGCTCTGCTTTCAGTTGGTTGAAACCTGTGCATGCATGGTCACTAATAAGAGCAGGTCACATGACTCACTGCTGCTAGCTGCATAAAACAAACTTGTGAGTTGCTGCTTGGTGATGAAACGTGACATCCTCGACGTCATCAGTCATATGCACAGATGTAATATCTAAAGCAAACTGATGGGAGAGACGACACTTCTCTTAACCTGAGACTTTTCAGGTGAGGATGTCTGTCTCACGTCGCTGTGCAGCTGTGTCAGAGCACTTCCTCATCTATTAGAAACAACAAAGTTTAATTACTAACCTTTCCCATTTGTGTTGCCAGGATGATGTCAGAGGGAGTCCCAAAGGGCTGGATCAAGTTAATGATGTCACATTCGGACCAGCCGCTCTCAGGAAGTCCTGTGATCAGCAGCCTGCCTTTCTGTATGAGACAGGCTCGTTTGTATTAACCGATGTCTTTCTCGTTACTACTTTTCCCAGACAGACATAGTGGAATATGTTACAGTATACAGATTATGTACCTCACTAGACGTCTTCTGGTCAGTGTTGCCTTCTGCAGCTGAGGTGAGAGGGCGACAACATGAGTTAAACAGAGCTTCCAGATACAAAGGCAGCAGCCATGAAATACTCATCTGCACATCAGCTGGGTGTTTAATTCATCTAAGACAGACAGTGGAAGTCATGATGTTTGGATTTTGTTGAAGTGAGGTATTTGGATCATGTAGTGATGACTGAGTCTTATCTTCTGTTACTATGACTACATTAAAAGTTTGCCAAAACAATGTGGATGGAGCAGCTCTCATTTCTAGAAATATGGACGAATTTATTAAACCCCCCAAAATATGACCAGAGTTGGGACCAGGAAGCAGAGTTGCAGTCTTACACGCCTCTCTGCAGCTTCTCTCCTAAGAAAGAACAACACAGTATCCACATCTGAACCAAAGAGTAAAACAGTGAAATGTGGATTATTAAATATTAGGTCTCTCTCCTCCAGTTTGGATTCAGGAGACAGACACTATCTCTACTTTCAAGATTAGGCTTAAAACTTTCCTTTTTGCTAAAGCATATAGTTAGGGCTGGACCAGGTGACCCTGAATCCTCCCTTAGTTATGCTGCAATAGACGTAGGCTGCCGGGGATTCCCATGATGCATTGAGTTTTTCCTTTCCAGTCTCCTTTCTCACTCACTATGTGTTAACAGACCTCTCTGCATTAAATCATATCTGTTATTAACCTCTGTCTCTCTTCCACAGCATGTCTTTATCCTGTCTTCCTTCTCTCACCCCAACCGGTCGCAGCAGATGGCCCCGCCCCTCCCTGAGCCTGGTTCAGCTGGAGGTTTCTTCCTGTTAAAAGGGAGTTTTTCCTTCCCACTGTCACCAAAGTGCTTGTTCATAGGGGGTCACATGATTTGTAGGGCCTACCTTACAATATAAAGTGCCTGCTGTGATTTGGGTCTGTATAAATAAAAATGTAAATAAACTGAATTGAATTTTTAAAAACACAAACTAACATTTATGGCAGTAGCTGGTAGTTAAGTAAACCATGACTCATGTCTTTGGCGGTACTGCAGATGTTTCCTACCTGTGTCCGTTCCAGCTGCATCTTTGTTCTGTTCTACGGACGGTTTGCTGTGAATGAAAGCAGCGACCAATGATGAAGATTAAAGAAAAACAGGATTTCAAAAGAACCATCAGGAGGGGTCATTCTGACCCTGTCCAGTCACGTTTTTCATTTTTTAATCATATTCTTCTTTACATTTTAATTAAGACAAAACAAGTATTTAGGTACATGTTTGGAGGGGGTTTTTTTTACCTCTCATAAAGTTAAAATAGAGATTAGAAGAAACTAATAAAGGGTTCAATAAATAAGAGATTTAAATAATGTCATTATTACAGAGGAAGAACACTGAAGTTTTGGACAACGTGTGGCATTCGTTATAAAGATGAGACAGACTGAACAGCTGACTGGCTACATTCTAACACCGGGCCTACAGCTGACTGCAAACAGAAACACATTACATGAAGTTTGGTAGTTCTAGTGTTGAGCCAATAACTGTGACAAACCTGTTAGCATCAGCAGACTGTTCTCCTTCAGGGTTCTGTAAGAAAGAGGGCGGAGCAGTGAAACACAGGTGTGTATTAACACTTCTTCATCTTTGCATCAGCAGGCTACAGGAGGGAGGCACAGAACACCTTCTGTAGCTGTCACAACACTTGTTTTCCAGCTTTAAGCCTCACTGAGGAAAGTTCTAGATTATCATCTTGCTCTGGAACCATCTCAAGGCCAGAAAGCCGGCATTGTCTGGATTATTACACGGACATGATTCAAAACAGGAAAAACATTTCTCACACCTTAGCTACTGAAGCTGTGATGTGCTGCTCTCTGATGGAGAGGTTTGTGGAGGTGGCCAGAGCCTGGGCGTCTTCAGCCTTCACCATACATACAGAGGCCTGAAACACCAGCAAAGAGATTAGACGAGCCAGAAAGAAGGAACACATGCAGCAAACTAACAGATTACCACATTTACAGAAAGGATAGATTACACAAAAACCAACCGCACTTTTTATTTTTACTTATCAGAAACACCCCGCCCACTGACCCACATCTGACACTTCAACCGCACCTTCTGTCCTTGGCCCTTCTCGCTCTCCTCTGAACACGGCATGAGGATGACATTATTGATCTTTCCAAAGGCCCCGACCAAATCGGTGACCTCCTGTTCAGAGGCGTCCTCTGGGATGCCCGTCAGATACACCAGACGATTGGCAACAGACTGAGAGTCCTGTGAGGCTGGAGTCACAGTTTTCTTCTTCTTCTTGGCCGGTGGAGGCTTGGCAGACTTGCCAAAGAGAAAGCAACAGCACATGTTTAACCTCAGTTTGTGATAAACATGAGCATGACAGTCAATATGGGTTAAAGAACACAGGTTTAAGTTGGAAATATAGTTGCCAGTTGAACAAGATCTGGATGAAATTACACAGGTGAGGAGGGAAACCTGTAGCACACCTTTACTGCCTTAGTTACCTTTTTTGCCAAGGTAACTTTTTTTATTGTGTTGTCTCAAATTAAATAATCTAGTCCTTGCTCTTCCAGCGGCTGCCAGTTGTTCCGGTTGTTCAGTGATGACGCGACGAATCCTACTTCCGGGCCTAAAGTAGTCTG